AGGTACAATTCCCAATGAGAAATGTAATTGTGTTGTATACCTACAATGTACCAATAAAAGAATTTAATACAAAAAAAAAATTTAAAAGGGTTCAGTGTGATGGCCTTAGGTTCAATCCCTATACCACCAAAACAAAACAAAACAAAAAAACTAATATGTAATACCTATTTTTAGCAATTAAATCTTACTTCATTCATTATCCTTCAGCTCAGATTCCAGTGTTCTTAGGGAATCTTAATTTGTTCCTCAAGGTGAAATATCTGGAAGATAGTTTTTCTTCCCATAAACTACTGTTTAATAGCATCCTGAACTTTGTGATATCACCTATCCTACAAATATTAAAGCAAACTCAGGATTGATTACCATCTTTGCTATGCCTCAAGGTAATAATAATTTAAATAACAGCAATGTTAAATAATATCTGGAAGAGCAAAATTTCAAATGTAAATGCAAAATTTCTAATGTCTTACAATATAGACACAGATTCTTTGATGCTTGTGTCATCAATCAAGAAGTGGTGGGCAGAGGAGTGATGAATGTTCCCTACCTTCTAATTCAACAGGCTTGTGACTGCTATAACCAGCAGATTCTGTAACCAATGCTTATGTGGCTTCTAAATGCAGGTCTTTAAAAGCCATGATTCTTCTACTTGTTCACTGAAAGACTTGCTCTGGAAGCCATGAGCTAACATGCAGAAAGTCCTACTACCCTGAAGTTACCATGGTATGAAGCTCAAGTAACCCAGAGAAGCCACATGAAGGTGTTCCAGGTGTTCCAATTAGTCCTCAGAGGCTTCTTGGACCACCTCCTTACAACCTGCCCTGTGATGATCCCGTTCCTCCCAGGTTCCAGTTATGAGTTCTCAGTAGTTCCACCCTCCGTGGACTCACTCACCTGAGCATCCAGCCTACTCAGGCGTCACTGTTACTAAATCGATGGTTGTTGTTCAGACATTGGTTATGTGAGTGAAAAAACCTACAGATGATCCATTTCTACTTACACACATTAGCACTGCCTTTCCTTTTTAGGCTATACAGGTACACTGCTGATTTGTAAACTTGTTTCTATACTGATCCAAATTCTTATGTTCAAATTTTTTCCCCAATAAATGTTCCATCTTCAGCAAGAAATTTTAGAGTTGCAGAAAAAGTACAGGATTTGAAACCAAAAATATGGATAAGCAATATACTATCTAAAATAACATTTTAAAATTCCTGTATCAATTTCCTAAGTCAAAAAGCCATAGTGAGGGTCAAATTTTTAACCAAGATAATAAAAAATTCTGCTCTTAAGACCAAAGGTCCTAAACCTTTACTCCTACTATTACATACTTTAGGCCCAATTTTTATAACACAAATTTGATAAGCAAATTTTATTCCCATGTCTGCATTAATAATGAGTCTTAGAAGTAATACTTTAAAAGGACCACTTGGGCTGAGGATTTAGCTCCATACCTTGCAAGTAAAAGGTCCTGAGTTCAATCCCCGATACCAAAAAAAAAAAAAGAACCACTTAGCAACATCCCATATCACATAGATATCATTATCTACAAACACCAGCATTCAGAATGATATCTCAAAAAAATGAAATTTAAAATGCGTACCTTCCTTTTTTCAAGTTCCTGAATGATATGTATGTGTGTGTTTATAGGTAGTAGAAATGGGTATTTCCCTTAATAGGAAAGGATAATGCCACAAGAATCAGATTCAACTTAGTTATACCATGTGTCTCTCTACCTCTGGGTTTAACAATGTATTACAAACATGAAGAATCAGGAAATATATCTGATACTTTATTTTTAAATAGAAATTATTATTATTATAAAAATGGCTTTTCATAAACATCAATAAAATAAACCTATGTCAGACATAACACAAGGTGGAAACTTCATTATAAAGGCTTACCTGTGTAGCTACTATCTGTATTTAGTAAAACATTCAATCAACAATAACTAGTCTTATTAAAAATAATAACAACTAAAAAAAAATAGTAACAACTACCATTTGTTGGGTACTTGCTTAATACTAGTACTCACTATGGTAAAACCTTTAAATACGTACTCTTAATTCTTAAAACGAAAGCTCACACAAATTCAGTAACTTTCTAAGGATACACAATGCTACGAAGCAGAACTAGTATCTCAATCCAGGTATGTTGTTCCAAAGCCTTCTTCTGTGAGCCACTAGACTACAGCAGAGGAAAAGAAAAATCACAAAAAGTCTCTTACCTCCTTTTGGTTATATTTGATAGCAAGTTTTAGACGACTTAAATTCATTCTTTCCTCTAGTAGTCCCCGTTTGTCAAGAGGTTCATCACTAGATGTATGGTTTAGGATAACTTCCAATTCACGTGAATTCCGGGCTTGGGCAAGCAAGTCTTTAGCAAACATTTTGCATTGACGGGCTAGTTCTTCATAATCATTCCTAAAAAATATAGTAGTTTATTATTAGAAATGTCACTATGTCACTTCCATCTCTAATTAAGCTACAGTCACTAGAAATTTTTTATTCAGCATCATTTTAATTCTGACAGGGCTACTCAAAATTTGGTCTTTTTCTGCTTACTGATGAAGGATGCAACTGGTGCATAAATTCTCCACAGCTTTGAGGAAAACTGTAACACAATTATGTTCCTTGTGTTCATACTGATAATCTTAGATAAGCACAAAATCCCTTATGTATATTGACTTTTATAGAAATTCTAATAATATTTGCCAAGCATTTCTTTACTTAACTCATTTGCTCTTATTCTCTAAGTTTGGCTACATTCCTTTAGTATTATTCAAGTAAATAATAGAATAAATATTTTAATGCTAGTCAATCATTATAAAATAATTTTAGCAAGAAGAGTTTTCAACAGTCTACATTTATGCTCTTCTAATATTAAAAATATTTTTATTAATATTTAAAATGCTCATTGGAATGAATTCAAGTTAGAAAGAGATACTAAAATGTACCTACCAAAGAACTTTTTTTTTTTTGATACTGGGGATTGCACTCAGAACCTTGCACTTGTGAGGCAGGCATGGCGCCACTGAGCTAAATCCTTGGCCTTGAACTTTTAGAATATTATTGTTCTGAATCTTACTAAGTTCTTTGAATTGCTTATTAACAGCAGACAAAACAATATGTGAGAAATAAACTTTTAGTACATATTCCTTTTGTAAAGTATCAATTACATTAAATTTATGTCTAAATTTAATAACAACATAAGAATTAGGTGAGAAAGAAACAACTACAGGCATGAGGCTGGACTCAGAAACTAATTTTTTATTTAGTTCTTTTCCTCCAAGAGAAAGAAAAGAGAAACAGGAAGGCTTTCCATTGGTCAGTCTTTCTATACAGTGGAGTTTTCCATAAAATTCTAATTCAAAGAATAAAAACTTCTTTTCCTGGGCTGGGGATTTAGCTCAGTGGTTCCGGCGCCTGCCTCACAAGCACAAGGTCCCGATATCGATCCCCGGTACCACAAAAAAAACCAACGAAACTTCTTTTCTTTGCAGGCTAACATTTCTGGCATTCATTCTTTGTATTTCTATGTAACCTGAGAGTAAGTAGTTGGATTTCGTCAAATGAAGTATATTCCGTGCTTCTTGGTTTAAGAGTATATTATTACACAGGTACTTCATCTTTAAATACTTGATAGGTCACTAGATTCAAAGGTAAAATTAATATATTTTATTAATCTAATTTGCTTAATCTCTAATAGATTATTGGAAGATAAGTGACTATATCATTTAAGTGGAAATATAGTAGACCAGAAGCAAGAAGTCCTATGTTCTAGTTATAATTTTGCTTCTACCTCTGGTTTCAACTCTGTTCCTAATTATAGTTGATATTAGTGGAACATCTACCCTTATAGATCTCTTTTCTCTGTCTATAAAAACACTGGATTGAAGTTCTATGGTCACTTCCAATTCTAAATTAATTGTTCTATGACTATAATATTTATTTCTTATAAATAAATTATATTTATGCCATATAAAATAGAATGAATTCTATTTTATATGGCATTATGGTTTGGATCAAAAATGTCACCCAAAAGATTTAGCTCAGTGGTGCTGTCCCCTGTCTCACAAGTGCAGGATCCTGAGTTTGATCCCCGGTACCAAAAAAAACTATGTCTCCCAAAAGGCTGACATGTTCAGAGGCGAGGTTTTGAAAAGTGTCTATATCATGGGTACTAAACCTTATCAATGGCTAATCCACTGATGAGTTCATAGCTGAATATGTTATTAGGAGGGGGCGCCAGATTGGAGGAAATGGGTCACTGAGCCTATCCACTCTGAAGGATATATTTTCTCTTTCTGATTTCTGGCTGCCATAAGGTAAGTAGCTTTCCACTCTGTCACCATAATATTTCTGCACTGGAGCCAGTTGATCATGGACTGAAACTTTTGAAACTGTGAGCCAAAATAAACTTTCCTCCTGTACTTGATCAGGGCGTCAGAAACCTGACTAACACATATGGTAACTCTGAACTCAAATTATAGGACTACAGTAACAGGAAATGCTTCATAGCTAAACATTACTTAATAGCCTTGTGGTAATAAAAGCAAAAAAAGTACCTTTTAACCTTGTCTAATGAATTCATTAAAGTACATACTTTGTAACATACCAAGTTTAAAGTAAATTTAATGTATCTAAATTAAAGTAATTTTAAACTTGAAAACTTATAAACAGATATCTTTTATTTATGTCTCTGCAATTCAGAGCTATCAAAAACATACACTATGTACTGCTGCTGCTGTGGCTGGCTTTCTTTTCTTTTCTTTCTTTCCTCACTCTCCCTCCACCTTCCTCTCTCTCCCCCTCTCTGTCTCTCTGCCCCCCCCTCCCATCTCATCCCTTTGGTAATAGGGATTAAATCCAGGGCCTGTTTTTAATTTTTATTTTAAGATAGGGTCTCACTAAGTCATTAAGTTGCCCAGGCTGGGCTCAAACCAGTGATCTTTCTGCTTCAGCCTCCCAGAGTGCTAGGATTACAGGCATGAGTCAGCATGCCTAGGTGAAAATTCAGAAGTTTCTCACCACCCTTCCAATAAGTGGAATTTTGAACTTTCTGATCTTGTCAAGTCACTGGGTCGGTGGTACATAAGACAAAGGGCTCCAGCAGGAGCTGGGTTTAGGTATAGAGCCTTGTAGAAAATTTGCAACAGCAGTTGGGAAGAAATCCTAACTGCTCCTTCTTCAGACAGCACCAGGGATAAGCCTGCCATAAAGGAAAACTTTTAAAGCTTCCTCAGGGATTTAAAGCTGGCTAATGAGTGTGACAGAGGACAGCTGGAAAAAAATGACATAAATAGCACCAGGTTCTGTTTCTCTGAAGGAGAAGGAAAATTCCAAATAAGTGACAACAGGGTGCAGTCATCTTGGATCAAATGTAAATAAATGTAAATTATAATTCAGCCTTTGGAGAAATTCAAGATCAATAAGATTCTGAATTAAAAGACATTTTATCATTTACAGTTTCCATTTATTCCCACCTGAATTCCACCTCCACAAGGCTTAGTTCTTTTAAATCAGCACTAAGTTCAAATGCTCTCAGAATTGGATCCTCCTCTGTTAACATTATTAGAGCTGGACTGGCCAAACATCGATATATATCAAGACGAAACCTGTGATAAAATTTGATTCCATAATGTAAAAAAACTTTAATATACACATATAATTAGTTTTAACTTTTAATTTTTACAAAGTTTTACAAAATTTAAAAGTATGTAAATAACTATATATATGCTTATTACAAGATAAACTCCACAAAGAGAAAGATTGAAAAATTAAATATCTGAGACACAAATATTGAAAAACTTACTACCTACTACTTTGAAGAAAACTATTTTACTGTCTCTTTGCAGATTCAAAAGTACATATTGTTCAATCTAATTAAACTTCTATTCCTTAACTAACATAAGTTTAAATGAGATATGCTAATAATGGATAAATACTTATATGATATGGTTTGGATGATTATTAAATTTTTCCTTTCCTAGCAATAAAAATTCTTTAATATGGCATATATATTTCAATTACATGACCCATTAAGCTAGGTTATGATTTTCAAAGATGTTTCAAATCTTAAGAATGAAATTATCCCTTCATATATAATTTCCAGCTAATAAAAAACACTCCTCTGACCCTCTGTAAATTAAAAAATTTTCATATTTTAACCAACTAGGAACCAAACTAGAAAACTCATTATAATTCATTTAATAATATATAAATATAATATGTAATCATAACTTTATTATACAATGCATACTGTTGTTAAACTATAAATTTAATACATACTTTTTTTTCAAGTAAGTACTTTGGGAACATAATAATTCCCAGTCCTCCTTCTCCCACTAACTCTACACTTCAAAGACACTGCAGAGAATTGTGCATATCCTTTCTGATACTTTCTATTACACAAACATAATCAGACATAATACAAAGAGGAAAAACTTGCTTTTTAAAAAAATAATCATGAACTTATGTGTCGCTATGAATAGATTCACATCATTGTTTCCTACAACTGGATGATTTTTATTTGATGAAGGCCCACTGGATTTCCAGTAATGAAAATTTAAGATTGCTTTTTGGGGGGTATAAAAATGCAGCATTAATTTTTTTTTTATTCCTATATCCTTTGTATACTTTGAATTTCTGGGCAAAATGGCACGTGTATTTTAAATTCTGATTGTTGCTTCCAAAGCAATAATAAGGACAGCTCATTTGCCCCACATCTTCACTAATAATGGATATTAACAAGTTTTAAAATTTTTGCTAACTTAATGGAAAACAGAATTTTATATTTGATTTACTCTGAATTTCTTTAGAAGCCTGAGTATTCTTTTGTGTTTAATACCCATTTATCTTTTTTGTTCATATCCTTTGGCTTTTTTTCTCTAATGACTATTTTTTAAAAAATTAATTTGTAAGATTTCTTTATATATCAAAGAAATTAGCTTTCTGTCTAGACAAAAATCATTCAAGTACTTTTCCTCAGTCTGTTGTTTATCTTCTTTACTGTGTTTACATTAAGTTTTTTCAATACGGAAATTTAAAATATGTGGTCAAATTTACTGATACAGTATATACCCTATTTAGTTTACAGGTTTAATGTCTGATATTTAGAAGCAAAGTAATCTATAGTCCCAGATACTCAGGAGGTGAGTCAGGAGGATTGCTTTAGTTCAGGAGTTCAAGGCCAGCCTAGACAACAGAGTGAGACCCTCATTTCAAAAAGATAAGTGAAAAGATTCTGTAAAATGCTTTTAAAGAAAAGAACATTGTTGAAATCTAGTTATGATCTAGCTCTTTAATTAATAAGTACAATTATCTGTATTAAGTAAGGGTTTTTGCAGAGATATTTGCCTATACCATCACAATCAAAGGCTGAGAAAAAGCCAGGCATGGTGGCGGATACCTATAATCCCAGCTACTGGAAGAATGAGGCAAGAGGACTGCAAGTTTAAGACCACCCTAGGTAAATTAGCGAAGCCCTGTGTCAAAGTAAAAAAAAGGAGGGAGGGGCTGGGATGTAGCTCAATGATAGAGCACTTGGCCACTATGCATGAGGCCCTGGATTCAAGCCCTAGCACCACATACATACATGCAAGCATGCATACATACATACATATATAAGATATAAGCTGAGAAAAATATGCATAATCACAAAATTTGTCTTTTTGTTTCCATCAATATGTCTAAATTAATTTTATCAGATCATTTCTAAAATAGACTTTTATATAAACCTATTTTACCATATCTACAAATAGACTAGATATACTAAAGGATTAATGACAAACGTAGAGAAATAATAACTTTCAAAAACAATAGAAAGAAAAGTTTGGCAACCACTGTCTGGCCACTTAGTTTATAAAATCTAACAGTAGATTACAAAATTTATCATCTACTTTATAAAATCTACCATTCTATCATTTGAAATTCAAAACACCATCAAAAGTAATGATAGTATGAAGAAGTCAGTGATATCTCTCCACAAACAAAACAAAAGCATAAAACTAGACAGTTGTCCAAAAACAATCCGCCATTTTAGGCCACTGGAAATATTCTATTTGACATCGCTGATTGTTGAAAAACTGAGAGTTACAGGCAGGAGTGGCTGGAATCTGTGCCTTGCCTAAAGCTACATTCATCACCCTCGACTCCAGTTTAGTCAATGAGATCTGTAGTTTTACCAGTTTGATGCTGGTGAGCCTACCTTTGAGACAGAAAGGTAAAATCATTTCATGGGACAGTAGAAAACTATAGCCATGCTCACAGTTTGTAATAGCTAAAGCTTGGAAACAGCCCAAGTGGCCATTAACTGGAAACTGGATAAAGAAGATGTGGTTTCTTGAATAAAATGGAATACTACTCAGCCATCAAGAACGAGAAACTAGAGACATTTATAGCTAAATGGATGCATACTGAGGCTATACTCTTAAGTGAAATAAATAGGACACACATATGTAAATACCGAATAGTTCCTCTAGTGTGAGAAACTGAAAGTGTAAATAAGGATTAAAATGAATAATTCATAATTTGAAATAGGAAAATGTCCAAAGGTGTAGGGGTAGTGGGAGGGGAAGGGGAAAGGGAAGAATGGATAGGAAAAATTATGAGAAAAGAAAAAAAAAAAAGGAAACAAAATCTATGTAAATAGGGAAGGGTGGAGGGGGTGAAGGGCACACAGGTAAT